TTTTTTTTATAAACCCGAACTAACCCGAATGTTTAAACATAAACGAAGAAACTCTGTACAAGAGGCATGCGAAAGATGGCAATTGCCAATGAAAAAAAAGCGCAAAAAAAAGCACAGAGGACAGTGTTATTTAACGCCGAGAGAATACAGCTAATCCTTCTACCGCAGGACAATTGTTTCTATTTTCCATTTATTTATTTTCTCTTACATATTAATATTTTACAGGGGAGCCATCCTCATTTCGGCAAATGCATGGCTGCTATTTCGAGACTGACAAAATAGTTTGAATTTATTGAAATTGAAAAAAATCCATTTTTTTTTTTCGTGTTCTGTCTCTTCTGTGAGCTTAATTCCCTCTAGGTGTGAACCTGTTCCCAGTGGATGGCGAATAACCTGAATAATCGAGCTGACACCGAGAGAATAATTAAAAATTATCATGAAAAAAAAAATAAATAACAACTTGGGAATTGGGCACTGGTAACAGGTTTATCAAATAATTGAAATGTCAAGGCTCGATTTGACAGGACTGATCGACGGTGTCATCGTGACATGCCAGGAAATTGTTTTTCATAGCATATGATTTTTTACTGGATTATGTTTAATGAACTAACGCAGTTGTTGAACTCATGGCTGTCTGTTATTGTATTGTTGTTAATGCTGCGTTATCTGGATATGATGGACTGAAAAAATAATTTGATCTTTGGGGTTTGGTGCTATTGGAATACGTAATAGGGTGCACACAGTCCTGGACCAAGGGCTCTGTCAATGGGAGTCTATCCTATACAGACTGTTAACTCCCAGATCTTAGACGTGCCTGATGTAAGTACATTTACACGGGCAAGTTAATGTACCTGTTGGGCCAGTGTTCAAGTTTTTTCACAGACACTCTAATTTTTCAATTCAATTTTTTCGACGTGTCTACATGACATGGAGCATGTCGATATTGTCATTATTATCAGTTATCAGTTTATTATCAATTCGATTTAATACCCCGATCCGCGTGGAGAAAGATATAATCCAAAAATTATAACTGAGATATAGTTTTTGCCGAAACACCGGTAATATATCCGGATATAATTGATATATTGCTGGATATATATTTTTTCCTCGTCGGGAGAACGAAATTATCAGATATTTAATAGGTTCGTTGTAAACAAATGAACTTGTCAAATTTTTCACGTTCAAGTCAGTTTTTTTTTTGTCTCGAGCTCAAGGTGTGAATAATTATTATGAAAAATTTAACAAGTTTTTTTGTTTGCGGAGAAGCCAGAGAGAATTATCGAATGAATTTTTAAGCTGGAGTTGCATTCCGGGGATTATTATTTCGTTCAAATTTCAGTCGATAGAATTGCACCATTTATATATAAAAATATATCTTATATAAATATCTATTCTCATTTTTTGAATATAAACCTAAAAAATAAATATATAAAATATATTATATGTTTATATAATATAAGAATAATAATATAATATGTAATAATAATAATATAATATATAATAATATAATAAACATATAATATATTTTAAATATTTATTTTTCGGGTTTATATTCAAAAAATGAGAATAAATATTAAAAAAATATTAATAGTAATTTTTGAAGTTGTTAATTGTTTTATTTTATCAATTGTTTCTGAATACCATAATTTAATCTAATCTAGTTAATTTAGTTAATTTATTTTATCTTCTTCAATGCTACAATTAAATCTAATCTATTAATTTCGATCCGTGATTAATTCAA